TCACACAACTATCATGATGGATCACACAACTATCACGATGGATCACACAACTATAATGATGGATCACACAACTATAAGGATGAGATCACAGAACTATAAGGAGGGATCACACAACTATCATGATGGATCACACAACTATAAGGAGGGATCACACAACTATCACGATGGATCACACAACTAGAAGGAGGGGATCACACAACTATAAGGAGGGATCACACAACTATAAGGAGGGATCACACAACTATCACGATGGATCACACAACTATAAGGATGAGATCACACAACTATCATGATGGATCACACAACTATAAGGATGAGATCACACAACTATCATGATGGATCACACAACTATAAGGAGGGATCACACAACTATCATGATGGATCACACAACTATAAGGAGGGATCACACAACTATCACGATGGATCACACAACTATAAGGATGAGATCACACAACTATCATGATGGATCACACAACTATAAGGATGAGATCACACAACTATCATGATGGATCACACAACTATAAGGAGGGATCACACAACTATCATGATGGATCACACAACTATAAGGAGGGATCACACAACTATCACGATGGATCACACAACTATAAGGATGAGATCACACAACTATCATGATGGATCACACAACTATAAGGATGAGATCACACAACTATCATGATGGATCACACAACTATAAGGATGAGATCACACAACTATCACGATGGATCACACAACTATAAGGATGAGATCACACAACTATCATGATGGATCACACAACTATAAGGATGAGATCACACAACTATCATGATGGATCACACAACTATCATGATGGATCACACAACTATCATGATGGATCACACAACTATCATGATGGATCACACAACTATAAGGATGAGATCACAGAACTATCATGATGGATCACACAACTATAAGGATGAGATCACACAACTATCATGATGGATCACACAACTATAAGGATGAGATCACACAACTATCATGATGGATCACACAACTATAAGGATGAGATCACAGAACTATCATGATGGATCACACAACTATAAGGATGAGATCACACAACTATCATGATGGATCACACAACTATAAGGATGAGATCACACAACTATCATGATGGATCACACAACTATAAGGATGAGATCACAGAACTATCATGATGGATCACACAACTATAAGGATGAGATCACACAACTATCATGATGGATCACACAACTATAAGGATGAGATCACACAACTATCATGATGGATCACACAACTATAAGGATGAGATCACACAACTATCATGATGGATCACACAACTATAAGGATGAGATCACAGAACTATCATGATGGATCACACAACTATAAGGATGAGATCACACAACTATAAGGATGAGTGAGTGAGTTGGGCTTAATGCCGCTTTTAACAGTATTCCAGTCATATCACGGCGTGTCAGCTTAATGTGGGAGGAAAGCCCGAAGTGATGCAGGTCTTCGGTGAAACCCACGAGCACGGGTATGGTGCTGACAAATCTAGAATCATAATCGGGGCAAACCCGGATTCGAACCCACAATCATAGGTTTCTGGCGTGCCCAAGGGACGCAACTCTGCACAGCGAATTGCGGCGCCTTAGTCGACTGGGCCACCCGTGGCCCCCTATAAGGATGAGATCACACAACTATAATGATGGATCACACAATCATAAGGAGGGATCTTCATCGGTTTGTTTGTTTGTTGTTTAATGCCCACTAAGCAATAGTCATATTTCTTCATTTGTAAGGACATCTGTATGTATATTTCAAATACTAAATATGGAATCTGTCACATTTAGAACCATCTTGTAATGGTTTCTATATTAAAAGACAATCTATACAAAAAAACAATACAAAAATTACGGAAATTAATATAAGTCTACATGGCTTTTGACATACAAAATACAAATACACTATTGATGGTGAATACAGGATGATATTAAGTCTGTGCAAGTTCATCTAAACTTCAATAAGTTAAAGGCAATTGTTGAAAGTTTTCCGCATCACCGAGGGAAAACATTGACGAAGTGTGCCTTACCTCAGTGAGACAGGCTATCCTGATACTGTTGGTGTGACTACGCTGTGCACTGACTGACTCAATGTGTGTATTCACAGGAGACTCCCCCACGTTACCCGCACAATATAGCGTAGACAAGCATGGCGATTTCTCCGTATCAAACACACACGACATGCTATGACAGTCCTCTCACACACACATGACATGCTATGACAGTCCTCTCACACACGTGACATGCTATGACAGTCTTCTCACACACGTGACATGCTATGACAGCCCTCTCACACACATGTGACATGCTATGACAGCTCTCTCACACACATGTGACATGCTATGACAGTCCTCTCACACACATAACATGCTACGACAGTCCTCTCACACACACATGATATGCTATGACAGTCCTCTCATACACGTGTGACATGCTATGACAGTCCTCTCACACACACGATATGCTATGACAGTCCTCTCACACACACGATATGCTATGACAGTCCTCTCACACACATGTGACATGCTATGACAGTCCTCTCACACACATAACATGCTACGACAGTCCTCTCACACACACGATATGCTATGACAGTCCTCTCACACACATGTGACATGCTATGACAGTCCTCTCACACACACATGATATGCTATGACAGTCCTCTCATACACGTGTGACATGCTATGACAGTCCTCTCATACACGTGTGACATACTATGACAGTCCTCTCGCACACATGTGACATACTATGACGGGCCTCTCACACACACATGATATGCTATGACAGTCCTCTCACACACATGTGACATACTATGACAGGCCTCTCACACACACATGACATACTATGACGGGCCTCTCACACACACGTGACATGCTATGACGGTCCTCTCACACACAACATACTATGACAGTCCTCTCACACACACATGCGACATGCTATGACAGTCCTCTCACACACACAACATACTATGACAGTCCTCTCACACACACACATGACATGCTATGACGGTCCTCTCACACACACAACATACTATGACAGTCCTCTCACACACACACATGACATGCTTTGACGGTCCTCTCACACACACAACATACTATGACAGTCCTCTCACACACACATGTGACATGCTATGACGGTCCTCTCACACACACACACAACATGCTATGACAGTCCTCTCACACACGTGACATGCTATGACTGTCCTCTCACACACACACACAACATGCTATGACAGTCCTCTCACACACGTGACATGCTATGACAGTCCTCTCTCACACACGTGACATGCTATGACAGTCCTCTCACACACACATGACATGCTATGACAGTCCTCTCACACACATGTGACATGCTATGATAGTGCCAGGGATAGAAACTAAAAGTTTAAACCCACTAGTCCTAAAAATAGTAACATTGTAGCAAAACCCTAATGGCAAATTTCCACTAGTACTTATGACACCTTAACTATTGAGTAGTTTGGCAAGAAATGTAGAACTAGTGCAAATTACTATCACTGTAGCACTCTGACACATGAAGACATATATATATCAGATGCTCTGACAGTCCTCTCACACACATGTATATCCCTCTCTCAGACCACTAACCTTCACTCTTGCCCTGCTCCATACATCCACCAATATTCACGTGTCAGAACAGATGCTGGCGTTTCACGGGTAAACGTCTCACTTGACAGAGGGTGGTCACATTTAGCCGTGTTAGACAAGAGCCATGTAACTATCACTTGTGCAATAGAGAGGGATTAAACCTTTTGTGTAGTCCGTCAGGCACAGAAGACCAGGCCATCTGCCCAAGTGGCAACAAGACCAGTGTTGGCAGTTCCAGAGCCAGCCCAACGATCAATACCTGCTCGCCTAACTTCACCATCAATATCGGCAATCAGCTAGTATTATTAGGCCACCGCTTGGCCAATCACATCGCAGTGTGAGTGACCCTGAGCCTGTCCCCTGGGCGTGTGCAGATTCCCTCCCTAGGGAGATATGAATAATACTCAGCCAGCAGCCTCAGTAGCTATTGTGATTGGTGATGAAGTGATGTGATACCGTGGTAATAGCATGGGGCTACTGACAAAAGGGCTGTCTGGACCCAGTTCTGTGTGTCTATGAGATAATGGTGGCCCACATGTCCTCATTCATTGAAGACAGATCACACTAATCGTTCCTAATGTTCTGTTGGCCTTTGTTCTCTAAGGAGCTGTTTTGCTGTCTATGAGAACTGTATTAGCCAAGAAAGCTGTCATTGTCACACCATTGTCAATCCTAATTCTACAACCATTTTCTGTCAATTATTCCATGGTTTTAGATTTGTCACTCTAAAGTGAAATCTTAATATAACCATATCCTGTTACATGTGAGTGTTGCCTAATGACGCAGTCAATGAAAACAACCCATGTCACAGTGGCCTGTACATGAACCAGGGTCAATTAAACCAGTGGTTGATAGCATGAGCAACAGCCAAAGCCATCGGGTCATGATGACATTCAATCAGCCAATCACCCATCCCTGTCATCTTTTACAACAAGCCTGGGATCTGGGGACCGATGATAGATCCCCACCGGGTTCATGTTAAAAGAACGATAAATTACAGATCATTCTAAAAAGTTCTTGATCTCTCCAAGAGGCAGATGGAAACAATATTACCTAGGAAGGAGGATATAAAGGATATAGGAACTATTTTATTATGTAGAAGATTAGAGACATGGTCAATACGAAGACTGAATGAAGGTTAACGATGTCTGCTAACGAAGCGAACAGTAGTTTTCGTCGACATCAAGTGGACGACAATTGCTGTCTTGAGCTGGCGGACTGTTCCATCAATAGGGTGCTTAACGGCGGAAATTGCCCATTGTGGCTGAGCGTGTGCCAAACTGCACAGGAAATAATCAGAGGCAGACTATGTTAATATGGCCACCATTATTGCCCTATATCATCACGCTATTAGTCAACTTACTGGTGTGGGATGTCGAAGATTTCCTGAGGCCTTGAAGGGTCAGACTGGTGCTGCTGATGTCCCGGTAGATGCTGATTTTGTGGTAGATGCTGATGTTGTTTATATACACTGATGACACAGTAGTTGCTAATGTTGTGACGGTTGAGTCCGTCTTCAGTCCTGGAATCAGTAAAGAACTTGTGTTAAATACCATGCCTTGTCTTGACCATGATGAAAGGCAATACTCCAAGCAGGAGAAAGAAGTAAGAAGTGAGAAGCCTGTGGACTGACATGTATACATCTTCCTGAGGCAAGGGAGTTAACTGACTTTAAAAGTCCAGTTTCCACCCTTGCCGAACTAGGCTGGAATTCCTGGGCTCGATTGTAGCACCACCAGGGGCTGTTACGAGTTAAATCCCTTCTATGCCTCTCCTATGGACCAATCAGATTCCACCACTTGTATCACTTGCATTGCTTCAAACAAAATGGCGGTGCCAAGTCAAGACGATCTGATGGACAATCAAGATCTATATTGTGAGAAAACGGGTCTTACATCGCAAACTGCATCAAATCACATGAGCACCTTGATTAAAAACTTGAAAAGATTTGGAAAATATCTGTTGACAACGAGTTAGTGGTGCAAATGCTGTGCAAATCCTGCAATCGACCAAAATCTGCATGACAGTTTACTAACCGGATTTCGATTTCGGTACGCATAGGCTCATTAGTCCAGCCAAAATCTAACTCCATAATAGCAGCCTAGTTCGGCATGGGCGGAAACTGGACTTTTATAGTCAGTTAACTCTCTTGCCTCGGGAAGATGTATGTATATTGAAGATTGTACCAGTACATCATATTTGAAACAAGCATGAAATACTCATATCCCCTGCCAGCATGACATGTCTGGTTGTGTGCATGGCAAGAAATATTGTACAGTTTTCAAGACCTGCTCTGGAAATTAGCACTATCGCCATTTTCAGTCTAAGTCAAAGTTGTTGCCATGGAAACTCCAAAGATAAATTTGTAACATCCCAAACCATCAAAAGGCACCAGGTCACCACTAGACCTATCTGTGTGCCAAGTTTGGTTAAGATATCACTCATGGTTTTTGAGTTCTGCTCGGGAAACGAAACATGACGAACGGACGGAAGGACAGCACCCATTCTTATACACTTTTTGGCAGGGGATAAAAGTTAACAGAAGGCATAAGGTGATCTGATATTTCAAAATTGAAAAAGAAATATATCATTATTGTATCACGGCTAAAATTCCCTGTATAAAAGAGGAAATGACAGGGTCCAAATCATTATGACACAGCTGAAACAAGTTCCCGGTGCTTTCATGTCACGCTTAGAAATCTGATGACTGTGATGTGAGTCGAGGCAATGAGGGAAGTACTTCACACAAGCAGACTGGACAAACACTTGGAAAGTGATGAACATCTGTCATTGAGATTAATCTTCTGATTCGCATAATTAAATTCGTAAAGGCACATCTAAACATCTCTTTCAGTACCCTGTGGAAAACTTGACATGAAGTACATTACTATGACTGAATTTAAACCAAAAAGAGACATTTAATAAAATAATATTCAAAATTTATCTGGTTATTCAGCAAATCAAAAAAAGGTTCTTGACTTTTGGTTTGAGCTAACTTTGATTAGTGTTGCTATTGCTGAAAAATTGAACATTGAAGTTCACTTTCCAATAAAATATATAGTGCCAAGCATGGTAACCACAGTAAATATCTTTGAATTTGACAAGGAAAAATAAACACCATATTTAACAAATGATCTATTTGGCATAACATTTTCTTACTAAAGTACAGATTCTAGTACTTTTTGGTGTTGAGTCCAGGGGTCCGGAAAATTTAAAATCCCAATCGGACATTTGCATTTAGGCCACGCCCCCTTCAAATAGCGTATTTTAGTACGACTTTTCACACACATTACAAGTTTACGTATTCATAATATGATGAATTATGAATTGTTTCAATTTAAATTGTTTAATTTACCAGACAATTAATAACAAATAATATCATTTTTAGATTTACATGGAAAAAATACGTTTGTTTCTGTTATAATAACGATCTGTTAACGTAGTGAACGGTCTAATTAATATTCATGAGTTATATTCATGGGTCTGCTCAAGTGTACGCGTTGTAACATTTGGATCGAGACTATTTTCCCATATTTGGTTATCATGTGACCTCACGGGAAAAGTTTTTTTTTAAACTAAAGATTTTTTTAAAAACAAGACAGATAATTTAATCACAAATACTAAAATATCATTGATAGCAATAGTTATTTGAATACTTTTTTCATCTGTACTTAATTATTGACCATAAAAAAATTGGATATCGATCGTCCGAGAAAGCAAAATGGCGGTCAATCAAGATTCAATATACGACTAGCTACTGAAAACAATAAAATCTGCAAATCCTCATTGTATGTCAACCAAGTGAAAGTCGTTAGCCACGACTTACAAAATGATCATCCAGACTTTGAGGGTTTGGCAGATCCGCCCGACTGATCTGCATCCGTCGAATGGCTGTCGTCACGCTTTCGCTTCTTGTCTGAGGTTACAAATCGTACGATTGTGAGGATAATGAGGTACATCGATGATGCAAGGTATTAATGTACAGTTGTAAACACCTTTCACTCAAATTAACAATGTTCTCAGTAATTAATCCTCGATTAATCAGTGTCAACTCAGTTTATTGCCCATTACAGTGATTGACAGATTGGACTATCATGTAGGTACGATGTATTTACAGCAATCAAAACAAACAAAGCTTGTCAGTGTAGTTAATCTTCATTGTGTTGCAACTGCAGACAGAAACTGCTCAGTCCTAACTGTTGATCATGTCCAGTCAAAATTTAAGAATGTCCGGACAATACTTTTTAAAATGTCCGGTAAGCATTATTTTAAAACGGACATTTGAGATTCCCAATCGGACATGTCCGGCGCATATGACGGTTTCCGGACCCCTGGTTGAGTCTCATCCAGGATTCGAACCCACACTGCCAGAGTGAGGCACCTAATCGCAATCACACACAGTCAGTGATCTAACCCACTCAGCCACCGAGGCTTCCACTTTGTGTGCTTTGTGTGCTGGCGATTAGGTGCCTCACTCTGGCAGTGTTGGTTCGAATCCTGGATGAGACTCAACACCAAAAAGTACTAGAATCTGTACTTTAGTAAGAAAATGTTATCCCAAATATAACATTTGTTACATTTGACCTCCTTTCTAAAATGGCATTGTGTGTTCATAAAGAAATTGTAGACGGACATGATGTGATGGGGCACTGTATTAGTCTTGTCATCTCTACAACTGGAACTGAAACAGCCAAATTGAGACAACTGTTTGCTTGGGTTATTTTCAAAGTTAAAGTTGTGTTTCTCCTTGTCAGAGGTGAGGTGAGGTGAAATTGGGTTTAACATCGCGTCCAAGATTATTGCACTTATATAGCGACGTGCATGCACGTGTATGTGTGTGTGTGGCTGCTTGTACTAGTCCGGACTGATGCCGATTTATAGTGCTAGCTCACTGAGATACCATGCCGCAGTTTAACATGAATACCCCACTCAGACACAGTATACTGACTCCGAGCCGACCAGTCCTTGTTTTAGCCCCTTAATGCCGAGCGCCAGACAGGGTAACAACAAGTACAATCTTTTAACGTCTTTTTGTATGACGCGGCTGGGGATCAAACCCCAGACCTTCCGCTCTCCGGGCGGACGCTCTACCACAAGACCATGGAGGCGGTATTCTCCTTGTCAGAATACACAGTCACAACACTTGAGCCTGTAGTCTGCTACAGATGAGAGTCAGACTACCCCATGTCCAAATCAGTCTTGTACCTCAGTGTTCTTGCTGGCTTTTGAAGCTGACAGTCCTGCTGGAGGCAATTCTAAAACTTAATAGTCCCCCCTAATTATTGTCAGTCCCAACTTAGAACATATAAAAAACATATGAAAATTACCTGGTTTTAATTCTTTGAACATCATGTTCAGTGCAATGACGTCATCTCTGAAGTATCTTGGTTAGATCTATATGTCATTCACAAAAAGTTCAGTCACAAGTTTTCTCATTTTTTAAAATATTTCAAGACTAAGTCGCTACAAATATATACTGAATCTCAAAGCAAAGCGAAATGTTATTTCCTTGCACTATAAATAGACAAGGGGAAAAACTGATGGTAACAGACAAGCTGATTTCATTTGAAAAATATACTTATATGAATATTGCCAATGTTTTGTCCAACTACAAAGATTTATAAGGTACTTTATTTGCCTGTCCACAGGGACTGGCAGTCACATGAATTACCAGTCCAAGCTTAAATTTACTGGTAAACGGGAACACTGTACCTGTGACACCCTCAACATCCAGAGATCACAGAGCAACACTTCATCAGGACGAAGTTGACAGGAGGACTCGGTTGAACCGAGACATTGTCACCACACAAGGAAATCATATCCAGGAAATGTCTGTGAGACATGTGAGAGTGTCGGTACTGCAAGGGTTAAATCCTACATCATGTCCCGATTATGATCCTTGGGTTGTCAGCATCCCACCTGTGGTCATGGACTCAGGACAGAGGTCATGGACTCAGCATAGAGGTCAACGGGGAAACCCTGCAACATGTCCAGCCTTTCTCCACATCCAGCAGAGCCCCATGATAACTATAACACTGTTCAAAGCGGCATTAAACCGCATCACTCACTCATTCTACCCCCGTCTCTTTTACTCAATCCAGGCAGCAGAGTCAGGGTGGGGGTGGCCTTGTGGTCAAACCGTTTGCTCATCCCATGGTTTGGATTTCCCAAGTTGGTAAATGTGCAATGACAAAATTTCTGGGGACTTCGCCATGATGTTGACATATTGAAGAAAGTGGGATAAAACTGGTACTCACTCACTGACTCACTCACTCTGAGCAGCCTTAGAAATTGGCACTAGTCCAAAAGTCCTTGCCAACTGCCCAATAGTTATGGTATCATAAGGACTTGTAGAAATTTGCCACTTTTAGAGGTTTTGTTATATGTTATCATTATAAGGACTAGTAGACTGAAACTGTTAGTTTCTACCACTGCTGAGGCCTCTTATAAAACTGGTTGAGTTGCTTTGCTAGTTCTATACAGAAACACATACATGTTCTGTCACGTTCCACCGTTTGTTTA